AGAACAGGAGGAAAGGAAGCATCAGGAGAGACAGTGCATTTCCCTGAATTCCATTCACAGCCTATTACCCAGTTTGTCCACTTCAAAAGCCATCTCCTGACCACTGCGAGACTGGCACTCCCAGCAGTCAGCACACAGCACCTAAAAGTTCTGCCTCAGGCAGTTTCTGTTATGGAAGCCCTAAATCTCTGAAGTCACATGCCAGCTGCATCAGAGTAAGGACAGACTCCACCTGAAGATGAGTAAGGTGCTGCATCATTTTTCCCCAGAGGCAGAGCTTCATATGAAGCTGAAGTTTTCTTTCCTCCCAAAGCACATCAACACCTTTTATCAACCCCTGTTAAAAAATGAAGAGGCAAAATTACAGCAGAGAGCCTAACACACCCACATCCTTACTCCCAAGCCAATCAGGTGCTTGTTTCTCTTTCTCAGAATGGCAAGAGCCAAGAACAAGGTCTCTTTCAATCAAAAAAGTAACAATACCAGTGGCAAAGCAACACAAAGTCACAAACGCGAATGTTCTTTCATTGCCCCTATGCAACAGTCACACACTTCACTTCATGCTGCCCATGTCCCTTGCCCACCCGGTGACAAGAGGGAGATACGGCACTAAGAGAGATGCCTAAAACCAACACGCCTGAAGAAGTGTGGCCCAAGCACAGCACTCCAGCACAGACCGTAGCAGGTTAAGCAGAGAGCTGGTACCTGGCCACCAGGCTACAGCTTATAAATCTCAAAAAGTCAGGAGAACTTAACTTGTTGCCTAAACATCCCCACCACTGTGTTAGTTTTGTCATGCCACAGCACCGTGTTTCCTCATCCCCAAAAGACAGCAGAGCAAGTATGTTAAAGGACAGGGCAAGGCTGCTGCTCCAGCAAGCACACACTCCTGCCAATGCTACTGTCTCAGGAGAGCATTTCTTCCCACTGCTGCCCTGTTACCAGAGAGAATGAGGGGACAGTCTCCCTCCAACGTAAAAATCAGAAGCCCGTTTGCTGCAACCTGTCAGGCCTGAACCACGGCCCCAAACAGGGAACTGGCTGATGAACAAATACACCAAAATGGAAGCAGCACAGCCTTACAGAAACCGCTCTCTCCTGCCCACTTCTTGTGCATGGCCCTTCACGTAGCTACCCAGCAGTGAGCTCCTCCGCAAGTGACGCTGCTGACGACATAGCAGGCATGCTACTAGTGACGGCTGTATTTCAGACAAATTCCTCCCAATATTCAAGCACATCTGAAGGACATTATTGAACTCTCCAAAACATTTCTGCTTCCTTACCCCAGAACTTAGCCTGAGGAAAAGTCCCCACATAGATTTTTCCTCATCTTTTAAGCAATGAGATGCTAGTAATATTTTAATAACACTAATATTTTAATGCCAAAGTATCCAACATGCAAGTAAACCCCATTCTACACCTCCCCATGTAAGCACTTGCAGGGACAAGGAAAACAAATGGAAAAACCTATGCATCTCCCTATTGAAATTGGGAAAAGTAAAATGTCATGAAAAATAGCAGTGGGTAAACAAGAGAATGTGATCATCTCCTCCACCGGTATCCACACGCTTCTCTTCTAGAAGTTCTCCAGCACTGATTCAAGAGTGCTCAAGCTAACCCTTTTTTGCACTTCAGGTACCACAGCCAATACATGACCAGAAACAAGTGAGGAGAATCTGATACTCTACCAGGGTTGGTTTGGTTTTTAAAAGATATTTAAGACCCAGTCTGACTGACTCAATGATTTACTGTTCAGGGCTAACTTTGAACCTGAAGGTTACCATCGCTCAGCAAGCAGCAGCAGGAGCGTCCTGAGCAGACATCACCCGGGCAGACCTCGACGGACCAGCAGGCAGGGCTCTCCCTAGGACCGCGCTGCTTAAGTGCTGCCTAAGGCCAAGAGGGTAGGAGCAGAAAGCGGGCAGGTGTATCAAACAAAGAAGCAGTGACACTGCCCCACTCCTCCATGTAGTTGGTTGCAATTCTTCATGGAGAGGGACATCAGTGCTTGGCATTCAATAATAATAATAGCGATAACAGCTCACGACAGAATTTTCCACCTTGAGGATCTGTAACTAAGTGACGTGGCAAGGAAAGGAAAACCATACAGTTGTAGACGAATGTGCATAGGGAATAATTTGCCCTACTGGCATACTGCTATTACAAACCCACTGTATTATACCCTTTGCTAACACTCCCTAAAACACAGTCTTTAACTGCAGAGTCAGGAAAAAAGGGCGTCTCTATTTCTTCCCCCTGCCCAACACCACCAGTAAACAAAATAGCTACTTGTCATCCACTGTGATTACTCAGGACCCTTGACTAAGGGAATGAATAGCTCCTTCCTATGGGGTATGCCCTGCCTTTAGTCATTGCCATTTCTGACTTCTCCAATTCTCTAAAAGACTGAGCTTACAAAGCAAAGGCTATGTACTGAATTGAGGTCTCATTGCCATGTTAGTTCAACCCCCAGAGCGGTGTGGAGTGCCAAAAGTGTAGACAAAGTTTACTTTTCACAACCATTATACTAACCCTCTCCTTTTAGGACAATGAGGATACCACACATGCACATAGCACAGGCTGAAAACCTCATTGTTTGGATTTCTTATGCACACAGTTTAGCAACTCCACCTGAATAATTAAAAAAAGAATCTGATGCAAAATACTCAGTTACTTCTTTACTCCTAAACCAGAAGAGTGCTCATGCCAAGTTAAATGCCTTCCACACTTAAAATTCGTTTAAAACACATAAAAACCAGCCCACTAGCCTGGGTGGTAAGAGCGAAGAGGAAAGCTTAGATTCACTCACAAAAAGATAAGCATGTTTTCTCTTTCCAAAAGATGTAAACGAGACTTACTTAATTCCCTAGCGCTGTTCTACAAATTTCAGTTCCTCAAATACCATCTCTGAGCATTCATCTCTTTTTGCCTCAGCAGTATTTAAATAAATACAGAAACCCAGGAATGTGGGGAAAGAAGACCTCAAACCCACTGCACACAAAGTTATCTGTGAGGAAGAACCGTGCCTTAGAAACTACGCGAGTTGCAAACCATTCAAATCTGAACAACAGCCACCCACAGGCTGAATCAAAGATGGTCCAGGGTGGTGCACATAGTCATGGGGAGGGGAGTACGCTGTTTCAAAGCAAGGGGCACAGGTCCAGCCTAGCAGCTAATGCAAGGTTCTGCTTCCCTCTTCTTTGTGTCAGCATTGCAGAGCCAGACTCACTTCACTTACGTCACATTGCATCAGTATTGGCCTATCTGCTTCATGCAACAGGGATGAGCGGGTGTTCCAGTGCAAGGGTCAAGAAGCTATTTCCCTGATCCTTTCAAAGCTGTGGAAAAATTATCTTCTCTGAGCACTAGCTGGCTACAAGAAAAGACCATCACAGCTTGAGTAAGTGCGGGTCACCGGCCTCCCTGACCCGCCTTGATATAAGAGCGCCGGGGGAGCTTTCCTCACCCTAGCCTGATGGAAGGTTTATTTCTTGTCAAAGCAACTGCTTGTGGAAACTCCGTAACTACTTTTAAGAGGTATCAAGATGCTGAAGTCCTTTTCCTCCAGGGCTCAGTGACAAATACTCTTTTCAGTAGACAACTCATCTTCTTTGTCCCACTTAGTTGTTAGCAGGAGGAAGACATTGTCCAGTCCAGGTGCAACTGCAGATCTGAGATTTGCAGGACACTCTGCCTAAAGCACGTTTCTCAGCATCGCACATTCCCCTCCAGCCCATCCGTGGTTCTACTGAATCATACCCCTGGACTGGAGATTCACAGACGCAGGAGCAGGAAGGTACTGGAGAAGACCCTGAGTCCAAACATCTCTCAAACCCAGAATCATACCCAATTCCCATGCTGCCCCCGACTTCATAGACCTAGGTCCCACTTGCCTCTGCCACCACCATCAGCCCACAGCCTAACCCCAGCTGCATCCCTCCAGGTACCAGCTGCATCTCCCAGGGGGAATTTCATCTAAGTGCCTCTTATCCCTGCTGCTGCCCTCCAGGTCCTGTGAATCTCTTCCCCATCCCTGGTTTGCCCCTGAGCACTCCCAGTCTCCAGCCAGGCAGGTGACAGCCCACCCCATGTGCCCAGCCAGCCGGGGGGCAGCCGCCCATTACCTGGTTACCAAAGACAGCGATGGAGCAGGCGGTGGAGACCTCATGGGAGCCGAACCAGACAGAGGCAATGTGCGAGGGCATGCCCAGGATGAAGACCTGGGCCAGGGAGCAGATGACCTGCCCCAGGACGGTGATGGGGAAGAGGTGCGGCTTCAGGCTGCCCAGCTTCACCCAGGCGCCCAGGGCATTGAGGGCCGAGCCAGCCAGGGCGATGAGGCGCAGGCCCCTCTTGTCCAGCAGCCAGGCGACGGGGAAGAGCAGGGGGATGTAGGTGAGCATGTAGCTCATGGAGAGCCAGTCGATGGCGAAGGTGCTCACGTCGTAGAAGCGCACGAAGACGTTGTTGATGCTGC